CCTGCCCTCTATCCAACCCCCCTCCCCCCCCGCTCTATGCCTCCGTGCCCGCTGCCTGGAGCGCCAGTGGCTGGCGGCACTACAGCCGCGCCGCCCGGCTGCAGCCGGGCCACACCGCCGCCACCACCACAGAGCACTGGGTCAGGCCGGGCTCTGCAGCTGCGCTGCCCCAGGAGCTCACAGCCCCGCCGCCAAGAGCATTGCGCTGGCGGCGGAATGAGCGAGCTGAGACTGCAGGGGAGGAGGGACAGCAGGGAAGGGGCCGGGGGCGAGTCTCCCGGGCCAGGAGCTCAGGGACCGGGCAGGACGGTCCCGTGGGCCAGATGTGGCCCGCGGGCCGTAGTTTGCCCACCTCTGTTCTAGTCAGTTTCACTCTCTGGCTCAGAGGAGGTCTAGAGCACATGGCTGTTAAAGCTGGTGCCTTGTCTACACAAATACTCAAACCAATGAAGCTGCATCAGGTACCCATGATGGGAAATAAAAGGTTAGTGCGGATATGGCCTTATGGGACCCCTAGATATGCTCCACAGGCCTGATTTTCAGCTGTACTCCTTTGACTTGCCCGGCTTGCACCTTTCCTGCTGTTTTAGTCCTTAGGGAGATGGTAATGTGAAGTAGGGATTGCTCTTACAGGGATGTTACCCTGCAGTCACACGCTCCTCTTTTTGCTGCCAGAAGGTGTGTTTGTAGGTGGCAAGGGGGAGGGATAGCTCAGTGGTTTGAGCATTGGCCTGCTAAACCCAGGGTTGTGAGTTTAATCCTTGAGGGGGCCATTTAGGGAACTGGGGTAAAAATCTGTCTGGGGATTGGTCCTGCTTTGAGCAGGGGGTTGGACTAGATAACCTCCTGAGGTCCCTTCCAACCCTGAGATTCTATGTTTCTATGACTGCATTGTTAACATGCACATTACCAGTGTCGACGTGAGGGCTCTGGCAGGGGACTGTCAAGAGGAATACACAAAAGTAAGTTAATCTATAAATTTGACTCCTGACTCTGAACCTGACTTGCCCCTTCCATTCCTCGATATCCAGTCAGCTTCCAGATATACAAACTAGCAGAACATGTTATACTTGGAGCTATGCAGCAGGGCTACCATCCCCGACACAAAGTAAGCAAGGCCAGCCTATTGATGGTAAATAATTGACGATTGAAGTAGGCTACCAAAACTCCAGTTGACAACACAGAGAGGGCTCTTCACAAATAGAAGACAAATTTTATGTATTTACTTGCACTTTCAGAGCTCTAGAAAGGAATGAATCAGCTGTTGACTGGGCTGGTACAAAACCACCATTACACAGTCAGCAATAGCTTACACACAACCATGGACATCAGGATCAGCTTTTACTGAGCAAAGGAATGTCAACCTGGCCTAAAGGAATTACATCACTTCCCCTCAGAGTGCCATGGGATCTCCAAGCTCCACCTGAGGATCCCATCGGAGAATGAAGCAAGGTGTAAGTCAAGGTGTAATCACTGAATGGAAACCCTGGGCACTGGAAGACATGGCAGCTGCATGAAAAGAGATTCTGACACTAAGAGACTAATCCCATTTGCAGAACTACCAAATCACTGACTAAAAAAAAAGACTACTGCTCTAGGAACAGACAATGCCTAGCTCTCAGACTGGGTACTTCACAGGGGGTCATTGTGATAGGTGGAGAAATCCAGGCAAGAGAAAAGCAAGTGGGGAAAAAAACCAACACCTCAACAAATTCTGTTAAATCCTGTTGACATTAAGCAGAGCTTTGTTACCTGTCCTGAGAGGGGCCCCTTAAGTCAAAGAGTGTGGAGAAGAGAAAATGCCTTGAGTTTTTTATTCTGCAGAAGTCTAAGAAGCAAACCCTCCTGAAGCTGAGCCAGCTGGAGTTAGTAGAGCCAACTGGCATCAGAGAGAACAAGATACATGGGAAGGAAATCAGCTTCCAGATGAGGTGCCTGTGCTGTGCCCACAGAGCTCATAAAAAGGGATTAGCATGTTAACCACATAATTAAACATGAAAAATTTAGCAGGCATCTTCAAAGGCAGGCAACAAAAACCCAGGGGTCACAAAAACAACATTTGCTGTGAATCAGGTTTAATTACAGGAGAGGCTCCTTCCAGACCCAGAATTTCTTACAGTTGATGGATTATTTCTTTCAAGAGCTATCAGTGCTTCATTTTATCCCAGTGTTGTGCCCACAACTGGATTAAAAGATGATACTAGGTTTCTTAAAAATAACTGCAGATTAAGACATGGGACAGCAGGCTCCAACATAAATGTTCATCCAGCCCCACCTGAACACTTGACCCAAACCTTTCAGAGGGGTGACAAAAGCTGAATGAAGTCATTCAATGCCACTCTACACACTTTCATTTCATTTTTTTTGGCCTCTTTGGTCCTGAGGGCAGGAAATGCCAAAATACAGTGAGAATGGCTTTTCTTGGAGCACCTGCAGTTCAGCCAGGAGCAGCAAGGAGCGGATTGCTTACACAAAATCTTGACTGAACGATTCACAGATGCAAGAGGTCTGGACAGCTCAAATAAGCATCCAGACCACTCCATTAACAATGCAGATCCAGGATCCAGGAGGGAACAGTCTATGGCTAACACTTTAACCTGTATCACGTCATCCCTATGGTGAGCTCTAACTGAAAGGAATGCTCTCCACACAGTCAGCCTATAGATGCCACTCACACACCTAAGACTGGAGTTGCAGATTATTTAATAAAAGAAGCACTAATATTTTTGTCTACACTGACTGCTGCTACTTTTCGCACAGAGCAAACATCTTTGATTCAGAAATAGATCCTGCAACAACACGGATCAATTTGAAAAATAAAATAAGGCAAACTGAATATCCAGAAAGGTGAAATTCTGGGCATCTTTCTTTTCCCCCAGTTTTAGTAATAGTGTATCATTAAATAGGAAACGAACTAAAATACAATGATAAAATCAAATTCCAAATAATACTTAGCTCCTACACATCCATACAACTCTAAGCACTCTGAAAAGAACCATTATCCCCATTTTACAGATGGGGAAACTGAGGCACAGAGCAGTGGAGTCACTTGCCTAAGGTCAGCAGCAGAGCCAAAAAAAGCCAGGTCTCCTGATTCCAAGCCCAGTGCTCTATCCACAGGCAGCACTGCCTCCCAAGACTGAAGCTTCTCTTCCTGGTTTTGAATCAGGGGCCTTTCATGTGTTAGGCCAACCTGATCCCCTCTACACTACAGAACACTGCATTTCAAAATGAGTTTGCCAAGAAGCTTTCTGCTTGCATTTGAGAGGGGCTGTTAGTGTGGCAGGCAGTCTCAGAGTTTCTTCTTTCAATGCTACGATCAGGGCCTACTGCAGCCCTCCGGTGTCTGAAGATCAGGACACATCTGCTTTCTCTTTGGCTACGGTAAAGAGAGATACCACCTTTGAAGCTGTTTGAGGTTAATCTGTAAAAAGGGTCTTCATAAAGGCACACAAGTCAGTAAACTGCACACATGCCGCCACAGACTGAGGCTTCTCCAAGAGGCTAAGTCTTTAGAGAAAAGCACATATTGTAGACAACAGACATGGTGTTAACTGAGCAGGAGGCATTAGTACACTCGGAGAGAGGGAGTAGGGCAAGAGCATTGCAGCAGAAGGATGAAAGATGAGAAAGACAAAATTTGAGAGATGGTAGCATTAGTTTAGGCTGCAATGGTCACATTCTGCTCCCGTTGACTTCAGTGGAGTTGTGTACCTGTTATAGAGCAGAATTTGGCCCCTAGAGATTAGGGCAATAAAGAAAGATTAATTGGTGCCCTGTCCAGAGTCCTAGTCTGGCCATGCTAACCCCCATGGTACTAACACTGTGAAATGTAGGCATCGCTATGAAAGAGATTGAGGCAGTATTGCTGCTCAGCTAACATTCCATCAATAATGCATCCGAAGAAGTGGGTTGTAGCCCACGAAAGCTTATGCTCTAATAAATTTGTTAGTCTCTAAGGTGCCACAAGTACTCCTGTTATTCCATCAATAAAACAGTTTCCCAGAGGAAGTGGTGGAAGCACCATTACCAGAGTCATTTAAAAATGGACTGGATAGTGCCCTGGAGAACGGATTATAGGGGACAACTGTGCTCCCAAGGGGCTGGGCAAGACGGGACTTAAAAGGTCTTTTCCATTTCCAGGATTCTACAGGACTGCAGACAAGGAGCGAGAACGCGGTCCTTAAAACTGAGAATACCAGTCTCTGGGTACCAATTGTGGCGAACAATTCTAACTGTGTTAGTCTCATAGGACTAGCTTTAGCTGCACGCCTGCCTGGTTGATGCTTCCAGATACCGGCTGGCTTCAGTTGTTTCCCTTGACATTTCTCTTGAATAAGCAACTCTCAGCCGAGAGATGCTGACTCTACATTCACCGGCTGCTCTGCTCTGAGACAGAGCCATGGCTTCCGCAGGGCAGTTTTGAAGCACAAGTAGCAGCATCAAGAGTGAATTTAAGTTGAGGGGTTTTTTGTTTTTTTTTAAACTCATGAATTTTCATCTGCAGCAAATAGAGGAGGAAGCAACTTCCACTTTACTTTGCAACACCCTGCAGAGTCTGCAAAGGGCATCCATTTCTCTGGTACATTTCCACCCACATGCAGTGAAGTGGGATCAGGCATGTGAGGCATTCCACATTTAGTCCACTCCCCACTTACTGTCCCAGTTCAGCTTTCATCAAGGAGGACACCACCGAGACAGAGGACTTTGGACAGAAGTGAATAGACAAAAGCTGTGAACCCCACAGACAAGATGAGACAGAACAATCCTGCTGTCTATTACATGCTCTTCTGATCCATGTAAGGGTGGGGTGGGACATGGCACTGGATCTCACACTTGCAAAGCACGCTGCTGGGGTGGCTCAGGCTCATGGTGCACTTTGGGGGCTGCAGCACTGACAGTTGGCTATAGCAGCATGTTTCACAGGCAAGCTCATGCACAGGTTAGTATTACAGACGGCGATCCCATCACCACACACAAAGTACCTTGGAATAACCTACTTTGAAGTCTCAAATGCAGATAGGTCTTCTGCCCTGGGCTTGAGGCTAAACCAGCAAAGTAAAATGAACAAAAACAAAAAACAAAACAAATTCCTCTGTGATTTGAGCAGCGCCAAGTCATTTGTGCAATCTGTACAGTTTGCCCGTCGGACTGGAGTGTTTAGCAGTGTCCAGGAGAGATGAGGGAGTTATTAGTTAAGTAGGGAAAAACTATTGATATAATTTTCTATTTCAGGTGTCTTAAATCTCCCCTTCCATCATAGTGGTAAAGATTAAAGCCCTCCTCATACCCGGATGGCACGAAACAAGTTGTCTGAGTTTTTACTTTAACTCCTCCTGCTAACAGACACAATTTTTAAAAATCTTTGCTCCACTGGCTGAGATAATAAACAACAATAATCCCTAGCTCTTAGATAGTGCTGTTCATTGGTAGATCTCAAAAGCTCTTTATAAAGCAGGTCAGCAGCATTAGCTCCATTTTACAGATGGGGAAACTGAGCACAGGTGAAGTGACTTGCCCAAGGGCAGCAGGCAGCGGCTGTGATGGACAAAGAGAGACCCTTATGGTTTTTCCTGACTCTCTAGTTTCCAAACTAAGGGCTGGTCTTCACTAAGGGAAGATCCACGCTGCTGCAATCAATGCAGCAGGGATCGATTTAGCTGATCTAGTGAAGACCTGCTAAATCGACGGCAGAGTACTCTCCAGTTTACCCCGGTACTACTGCTCTCTGTGAAGAGTAAGGTAAGTTAACCGGAGAGCATCTCCCGTCAATGCAGCGCAGTGAAGACATTGGGGTAAGTCGACCTAAGCTATGTCGACTCCAGCTACGTTATTCACGTAACTGGAGTAGCGTAACTTAGGTTGACTTACCCCCATAGTGAAGACAAGCCCTAACACACACACACACCAGTCTGAGCTACTAGAGTTATTGCACATAGTCTCCGTAAATCTTGGTCTGGATTAAGCATTCATGGACAAGCACCTAAATCAAAATATTATTATGATTCCTTGAGCAGAGTCTAAGCCCTGTTTTTCATCAGGAGCAAGGTAGGAACCTGGGTACCTTTTTAATGGTGTTGTGCTTGCTGTTGCCTCGGTCGGCATTCTCGTTGTGCAGTATATCCAGCGCTGTCTCCCTCTCCTTCAGTTTCAGCGCCTCAATCTCAGTCTTCAACTCATTCAGTTGCTCCTGCAGGTGCTTGCTCTTCTCCATGTACTCCACTCTGGCACACACAATACACAGCCTTGTGGTTACGCGGTTCCATGACAACTGATAGGGGCTTTTAATTTCATCATGCCCAGAGCATGAAATTGATTACACTAGTTTATGCTGTACAGTGAATTACACTGAGCAGTTTGTTCATTATTAAAAATAGATGCCAGATAGCCAATTCAAGAGCAAAACTATGTCATGTAGGTATGAAAAAAATAGCCAGTCTAGCATGCCCAGATGATATTTCTACGCCTCCCCATCTCTGCTAGCAACTGCAGAATGATCATAGAATCATAGAATATCAGGGTTGGAAGGGACCTCAGGAGGTCATCTAGTCCAAGCCCCTGCTCAAAGCAGGACCAATTCCCAACTAAATCATCCCAGCCAGGGCTTTGTCAAGCCTGACCTTAAAAACCTCTAAGGAAGGAGATTCCACCACCTCCCTAGGTAACCCATTCCAGTGCTTCACCACCCTCCTAGTGAAAAAGTTTTTCCTAATATCCAACCTAAACCTCCCCCACTGCAACTTGAGACCATTACTCCTTGTTCTGTCATCAGGTACCGAGAACAGTCTAGATCCATCCTCCTTGGAAACCCCTTTCAGGTCATTGAAAGCAGTTATCAAATCCCCCCTCATTCTTCTCTTCTGCAGACTAAACAATCCCAGTTCCCTCAGCCTCTCCTCATAAGTCATGTGCTCCAGGCCCCTAATCATTTTTGTTGCCCTCCGCTGGACTCTTTCCAATTTTTCCACATTCTTCTTGTAGTGTAGGGCCCAAAACTGGACACAGTACTCCAGATGAGGCCTCACCAATGTCGAATAGAGGGGAACGATCACGTCCCTCGATCTGCTGGCTGGTTAGTTCTCTGCAATTCCAATGAGAGCTACTGGTTTTAACAATGTTGTTCTACTCCACGGTGTATTTATAATCCCACTCTACCAAAATGCATGAAATTCTCAATTCATCTAGGCCAGATTTCCCAAGAGTGACTAGTGATTCTGGGTGCCTCAAGATGTCTTAAAGGGTCCTGATTTTTAGAGGGTGGGGGCTCAACACTGTCTCAAAAATAGGTCTCTTTAAGGTGTCAAGTACTGATGCACCTAAAATGGTTAGTCACTCTTGGCCTTAATTGTCTCCCATTATACATTGCCTAGCACACTATAGGCAGCCAAGACTGTGACTCAGTACCGAGACCAAAGCAATAACACATGGCAAAGCATGCAGAGGTTGCAAAATACCAGCACATCCCAGGTTGCCTTGCTAAGTGTGAGGCCCTGTTATGAACTGCACCCAAGCACTTGAAGAGTACAGACATTCCTGCAGTGGATCAACACAGATAGAATATTTTTGTTCTTATCATTTGAGCTGTGTGGTTAGAGAGGGATGATATGATCTAGTGATTTAAGCACTGGACTGGGAATTGGAAACTCCTGAGATCTTATCCCAGCTCTAATCCTCTTCTTTGTGGCCTCGGGCAAGTCATTTAACCTCTCTGCATCTCAGTTTCTCACATATGGTAAAAACATAGGAACTGCCATACCGTATCAGAGTGTGGTCCATTTAGTTGAATCTCTCACCCCAACAGTGGTCAACACCAGATGATTGAGAAGAAGGTGCAAAAAAACCCCAGAATGGATAATTACGGACTAACTGGACTATAGGGGAAGTTTAATTCAAATCCCAAGAAGTTAGTGGCTAGCTCATGTCCACAGCAGATGAGTGTATATCCCATCTGTTTTTTAACATGGTAACTAAACAGGTCTCATTGTTCAAACCTGTTTTGAATCCTGCTAAGCTCTTGGTCTCAATGAGATCAGGATTCCACCAGGGCAACATAGAGAACCCATCCTGGGGGACAGAAGACTAAGTTTCTTAACAACTACACCACATGCCTGGCAGGGACTCTGTTGGTCTGCTCCAGCAGATTGAAATGTAGAGGCCTTCCCATTTTGCCTCACACTGCAACCAATCTGAGATCTACCATTTCAGAACAATTGGCCAAATTCACCAGGAATTACTCCATTCATTGCAGTTGTGCTACACAAGGAACTAATCTGACTTGTGCACACAGACTTTGGAAGCAAGCTACATACTTCTCTTTCTCTATTTCCATGGAAAGTCTCTTCATGTCTGTATCCTTGAAGTCAAAGGAGAGGCTCTCACTGATGAGGTTGAAGCTTGGCAGGTCGGCAGGCAGCGCTGTCATACCTGAGTTCATGGGCTGCTAAAGAGAGAGCACAGATTAATCATCTTTAGACACACAGCCACTGCTATCTGTAAGCGTTCTGTAGCAGGAAGCTAAGGAGATACGGCAATGGCTGACCCCTGTAATGCAAGAAGCTACTTAGTGGTGCTTTAGTGAAGAGCTGGCTCGCTGACTGCACGGACAATGCTGGCTATGTGCTAATTCACTGCATCCCTTTTGAAGGATGTTTTGCTGCCTCCAACGACATTGATCAAGAAAGTATCTCATTTACTGTGTACAGGAGTCAGAGAGGACTCATACCTTCATTATCAAAACCATCGGAAGAACCTAGCATATGCCACAGTGGAAATAAAAGATAACTACTTACACTAAACATAGTGCCTTTCATGCTGAAGGATTTCTAACACTTTAAGCACTTTAGGAGAGGCAGTATGGCCCAGTGCATAGAGAACTGAGCTGGGACTCAAAAAACCTGTGTTCTATTCCCTGCGCTGCCATTGGCCTGCTGAGTGACCCTGGGCAAGTCACTTTGCCTCTGTGCAAGTCACTTTGCCTCCGTGCCTCAGTTTCCCCATCTGTAAAATGGGGATAATACTACTGACCTTTGAGATCTATTGAAGAAGAGCACTATTTAAAAGCTAGGTATTATTTTTATTTAATATATATACACAGGGATCACTAAAGACACTGCTGGAATGCAGCTGCCTCTGGGGTGAAACTCGGCAGCTATTTAACAATAAAACTGCATACCAGTTAAGGACAGGAAGCGAAGTGTGTTAGTACAAAACCCTCTATGATAGAAGAATCCTATATTCAATTGGAAGAGCAGAGAAAAGGGTGGCAGAATGGAATTATCCAAACTCAGAAACTGGTCAGGACCTCAGACTCTGACCAACACATCCTGACCTTTGCAAAGTTCCATGGTATATTCAATTGTCACGATTGGTCAGAACATCCATTTTAAGCTTCATCTGAAAGATGGCACCTTATCTCACACAGTGCCCTCTAGTATTATGCTGAGGAACCGGCTCCTTATTGACTCAAAGGAAAGAGCGCCATGTACTAAAATCACCAACAAACACTAATTCCTGCACACACTATTCCTTTAAGGTGTTCTAGCCAAAGGCTGACCTGCCCCAACTTTGTTTGGCTTGGGGGATCATAGCAAAAGGTGTTATAAAGGACTACAGGCTGGTGGGAGGTTTGACAATAACTGTCAAGAATAAGGTCATGCTTTGTGCGTATTGACTCTGGGACCGAGGGCAGGAACTATCTGCGGATTTCACAGACTAGAATGCTGTGCTTGGTCTCCCTCCCTTGCTCCCTAGATTAAGATAATCCAAGGACCGTTGTAGCTAGTCCAAGGTTGGCAGCAGCAGCTCTGATTGGGATAGCAATGGATTTACTCTGCACAATAAGCCTCCCTCCCTTGCCATAGGCATAAACTTCACAGGCAGTAGGGGCTTGTCCCTCGCTTGCAATGAACAAATCCAGCAGGACATCATTTCATTTGTCCTGCAGAACTGAAGTTGAAATGGGAACATTTTGAACAAGCAAAAGCAGTGAGAACAAGGCAGCTGAAGCTAGATGCTTGGCCTGGTGCAAGGGTTACGTTAATTTACCCACTTTGTGCATATAACGTAAATACCATTTCCTACTCCTGTTTCTTTTCCAACACACAGCTTATCCTGCTGCTGTTTGTGTGCAATGCAGCCAAGTTAATATTGCTGTGAGACTCTTCAAAGGGACACCTGTGACTCTAAATTCCAGAATCTCAGAGAGAGGAAAACAGACAAAAGTGCCTAGGTGACTGAAGAGCCTAAGGGTATGTCTGCATTGCAATCAAAGGTGTGACTGCGGCATGCATAGACATACCCGAGCGAACGGAGCTCTAGCTAGCTGAACACTAGCAGTGAAGCCATGGCAGCGTTGACTAGCTGCTTGGGTACAGACCCAGTGTCCTGGGCAGCGTTGTTCCGCCCAGGCTGCCGCAGCTTCAGGGCTATTGTTATTCCAGCTCGCTAGATCAAAGCTAGCTTGGGTATGTCTACACTTGCTGCAGTCCCACCTCCTGACTGCAGTGTAGACGGACCCTGAATCTCATGGACTTTCAGTGGGACTTAGGCACTTTGGACAGCTTTACCTGTATGAAGTTTTCTGGCCTATGCAGGAAGTCAGACTAGATGATCATAATGGTTCCTTTTCTGCCCTTTAAATAATTTGTTAAAAAATTACTAGATTTCAAGTTTTACAGATTTTAACAGTGGTTTCAGATATTACATCTGCTGAGTTCCCATGCCAACTTTCTGTGATTATACAACTACATTCCTCCCTCTCTTCTCTGTTGCTGTATGGAAGAGCCACTTAAGCAGGTGAAGAACTGATCATATGCACCGGAGACCGCATAGAGAGCAAAGAACAGTGAAACCAATTATACATAAAGTGCTATCAGGTACATCAACTTCAAATCTGGGGGAAATATTTTCCCATCTCATTTCTCTCATTTTCAGTAATCCTAGGCTACACTTGTAACAAGAGAAGGTGAGAAATTCCCAGGGCAAATTGTGATTACTAAACTGAGGTGGCTTAACAGAAGGTTACTCACCTTGTGTGGTAACTGAGGTTCTTCAAGATGTGTATCCCTGTGGGTGCTCCACTTCAGGTGTCGGTGCATCCCGGTGCTGTCAATCAGAGATTTTTGGTAGCAGTGTCCATCAGGGACACATGTGCACAGTAGTCATCTTGCAGCGCCGTTGGTGCCTTGACTAGTGCGCGTACAACCAGACCCCCTCAAGTCCTTCTCTACTGTAGAGTCCTTACTGTGAACTCCGAAGCAGAGGGGAGGAGGGTGGGTAGTGAAGCACCCACAGGGGGACACATCTTGAAGAACCTCAGTTACTCCACAAGGTGAGTAACCTTCTCGTCTTCTTCGAGTGCTGTCCGTGTGGGTGCTCCACTTCAGGTGATTGTAGAGCTATGACGGACGGTGGAGGGGGGACTTTGGAGTTGTGTGCATAGTGGAGGAAAACACAGTTAGGCCTAGTATAGAGTCTGATCATGAGTATTGGGTAATTGCATAGGGGTTGATGAACATATGCTCAGAGGCCCAAGTAGCAGCTCTGTAGATGTCTGGAATTGGTACATTGTTCAGGAAAGCTACTGATGTTGGGTAGAGTGAGATCTGAGCCCTCTTGGCAATTCTGTTTTATTCATTTGATAACAGAGTTGGATGCACCTGGAGATCCATTTAGAGTGACTCTGTGTAGATATAGCGGAGTCCTTGGATCACTCCGTTGTGGAGACGAAAAGCCTTAAGGATTTTCAGAAAGGCTTTGTTCTGTCCAGGTAAAACCTATTACGCGTCTAACGTCTAGAGAGTGTAAAATAGTCTCTTGTGCGCTTGCACGCAGTTTGGGATAAAATGTGGGAAGGTGAATAGGTTGGTTTAGATGGAAGGATGATGAAATTTTAGGGGGGAATTTTGGATGAGGTCTCAATGTGACCTTGTCCTTAAAAAAAAAAAAATACAGTGTATCAGGGATTGGCCATTAGTGCTCCTATCTCATTTACTCGTCTGGCGGAGCTGATTGCAACCAATAACGCCACCTTCATCGATAGATGGAGCAAGCAGCAAATAGCCAGAGGTTCGAATGGGGGTCTGGTGAGGCGTTTGAGAACCAGGTTTAGGTCCCATGCAGGTTGGCGCACTTCCAGATAGAGGTTCTGTATGCCAGTGAGGAAATGTTTGGTGATTATGGGGGACGGATAGCTCAGTGGTTTGAGCATTGGCCTGCTAAACCCAGGGTTGTGAGTTCAATCCTTGAGGGGGCCACTTAGGGATCTGGGGCAAAATCAGTACTTGGTCCTGCTAGTGAAGGCAGGGGGCTGGACTCGATGACCTTCCAGTTCTAGGAGATGGGATATCTCCATTAATTAATTAATTTATTTATTAGATGCACGAATATCGATATTCTGTTGATCTTATGATGGAAAACTGTAATCACCATGAGATGTACTTTAATGGAACTTATGGACAGGCCCAAATTCTTTAATTCTAGTAGGTAGTCAAACACTAGCAGAAGTGGTGTAGTGCTTGTAGTGAACTGTTTGTTCTGGCACCATATGGAGAACCTTTTCTGTTTTTTAAGGTAAGCATTAGGTGTGGTTGATCTCCTGCTGTTCAATATCACGTGTTTAACCTGTTCCAAACAGACTAGTTTGTGGTGATGGAACCATGAAGGAGCCACGCTTTCAGGTGAAGTTTCTCCAGGTTCGGGTGGAGAACCTGACAGTTGTCCTGAGAAAGAAGGTCCATCCTTGATGGGAAAGTTCGTGGGATATATACTGCCATGTGCATCAGGTCGGGATACCAGGTCTGTCTAGGCCAGATTGGGGCTATCAGTATGACCTTGGCCTTGTTGGCACATATCTTGTGTATCACCCTCGAGAGCAGTGGAATCAGTGGGAATGCATATAGAAGTGATGCGTCTCATGTGATGAGGAAGGCACCCCCTAATGACTACTGTCCCAATCCTGCTCTCAAGCAAAAGAGAGGACAGTTGTGGTGTAGTGACGTTGCAAATAAAACGATGGGAGGGAAGGCTCATTGTTGCAATATGGATTATAGGACTGTGTGGTTCATTTCCCATTCGTGGTCCTGAGAGAACTGTCTGCGTAGAGTGTCCACTGTCATGTTCTGACATCCGGGGAGGTAGGAGGCCAAGATGTTTATGTGGCGGTGGATGCACTAGTTCCATAATTTCATGGCCTCATTGCATAGTGAGTGGGAACTTGCCCCTCCTTGTCGATTGATATAAAACATGCATGCAATGTTGTTGGTCATCACTGGTACTGTTCCGTTCTTTATGAGTGGTAGGCTGTAGAGACAGGCATTGTGTACTGCTTGCAGTTCCAGTAGATTGATATGGAGTTGGGTCTCCACATGTGACCATCTGCCTTAAATTGCATGGTGGTACAGGAGGGTGCTCAAGCCTAACAGATGAGGCGTCTGTTGT